AGTCAAACATTTGGAAAAAAGGTTTTTAGTGCAGAGGCTGGCAAACTAAGGCTCCATGCCAGAATGTGAACCCCTGCCTGTTTTTATATGGCCCAGATACTTACCAGAAAATCACTGTAAAAAATCACACACACACAAGAAAACTTAATTAAAATGTCTCTTGCCGGGCGTGGTGGCTCACACCTACTATCTCAGCACTTTGGGAGGCCAAAGCAGGCGGATCACAAGATCAAGAGATCAAGACCATTCTGGCCAACATGGTGAAACCCCCTCTCTACTAAAAATACAAAAATTATCTGGGCGTGGTGGGGTGTGCCTGTAATCCCAGCTACTTGGAAGGCTGAGGCAGGAGAATCACTTGAACCCAGGAGGCAGAGGTTTCAGTGAGCCGAGACTGTGCCACTGCACACCAGCCTGGTGACAGAGCAAGACTCCATCTCAAAAAAAACCTCTCAAATCTGTCCACATCTCTATCCTTACTTGCAACACCATCTCTTTGCTGGGCATGGTGGCTCATTCCTATAATCCCAGCACTTTGGAAGGCTGAGATGGGAGGATCACTTGAGACCAGGAGTTCAAGACTACCCTGGGGAACATCGTGAGACCCCCCATTCCCCTGCCAAAAAATAATAATAATAATAATAATACATACACACACACACACACACACAGAGAATAATACGAAACTGATACCATATGCGGCCCACAAAACCTAAAATAGTTACCATCTAGCCCTTTATTTAAAAAAAGTTTGCCAATCCCTGTTTTAGAGTATTTACTATTTGCTTTGTAAGCAGAAAACGTTTTCTTCTACACTACAGAATAATCTTCCAGTCTGAAGAACATAAGACAGTTTTGATATTCAACTGACCTTTTAAATAAAGAATTCTATCTGTAGGCCGGGCGTGGTGGCTCACACCTGTAATCCAAGCACTTTGGAGGCCAAGGCAGGCAGATCACCTGAGGTCGGGAGTTCAAGACCAGCCTGACCAACATGGCGAAACCCCATCTTTAATTTAAAAAAAAAAAAAAAAAAATCTACCTGTAAACACAAGTGAAAAAAAATTTCTAGCCTTGAGGCTAATGCTAAAAAATATATAAATTTTTAAAATTACTCTTATTTCTTAAATACAGCCTCTATTGGCCTATTCCTCAGACTTGATTCCCTTATCCAACATACTAATTTATATTCTGTATAAACTTAACAGCCACTGAGAATTGTAGATCTATGACCCCCTCCAACTATAGCCCCCTAGACACTCAACTCTGAATAAAGAAGGTTCAACATATTCCTGACAGCTTTGACTGAGACCTCTGTTATTTCTGGTTTACTATCCTTCTGTTTTTAACTTAATCCAATAAAATAGCTCTAAAAGGTAGCAATAATTGACCATATTAATTAAATGCCAATTTATATGATACTCCTAAAGAAAATGTTCTCAATAACTGAATTAATATTCAAACTCTAGGTTGGTTGAGTATTCACCTTTCTCCTTGAGCTTGCTAACACTTTTCTATCAAAGTACTACAGAGTTCTAATCAGAAAAGAAATTGTTATCCTTCACTGCCACTTGCTTGTTGTCATCATTTACCCAGGTAATCTCTTCTACTCTCCCCTAATGTCTAATAAAACTTGCCCCTCCTTGCAGATCACTTGAGGTCAGGAGTTTGAGACCAGCCTGGCCAACATGGTGAAACCCTGTCTCTACTAAAAATACAAAAATTAGCCAGGCATGGTGGTGGGCACCTGTAATCCCAGCTACTCAGGAAACTGAGGCAGGAGAATCACTTGAACTCGGGAGACTGAGGCTGCAGTGATCCAAGACTGTGCCACTGCACTCCGGCCTGGGTGACAGAGTGAGACTCTGTCTCAAAAACAAAAACAAAAAAACTTATCCCTCCTATTTAGGAACTCAAATATATTAGTTTCTCTATCTGTTCTTTTTTTAAAACTTTCTTTTTAACATCCTTTGCTAATACTTCAAACATGGAAAAATATTAGGATCCTCAAGAATAGACCTTGAAATTCTTTATCAGATTACCAATTTGTCAGCCTCCCTCCTTCTACAGAAAACCAAATTTAGACCGGGAGTAGTGGCTCACACCTGTAATCCCAACACCTTAGGAGACCAAGGTGGGAGACTGCTTGAGCCCAGAAGTTCGAGACCAGCCCCAGCAAGATGGCAAGACAATGTCTCTACAAAAAAAATAAATAAATAAAACATATCACCCAAGCATGGCACATGCCTGTAGTCCCAGCTACTTGGGAGGCTGAGGCAGGAGGATCCCTTGAGCCCAGAAGTTCAAGGTTGCAGTGAGCAGTGATTATACAGCTGCACTCCAGCCTGGGAAATAGAGCAAGACTTTGTCTCTTCAAAAAAAAAAAAAAGAAAAAAAAAAATCATCTATTTTATCGTTTAAAATGCCATTGATTATTTCCTTCAGGAGGCCTTTCCAAACTAAACTTTACCTTACACTCATTAAAACTCACCAATTCTTTTTTTTTTAACTTAAGATACAATATTACAGGCAATAAATTACATGTCTACAGAAGTTTGTATGAAATATGAAGAAACCCTTATAATAACAAATTCAGTTTTAAGATTAAATAGTATTAAGATATCCCTCTAAATTGGTCTGACAAATTTTCAAAAATACCATATCTGATTTTATTATCTGGACTACATTTAGCATAGTTACACAAATTTGCTAAATTTTAGCTTCTCGAAAAATGGTTAGTCCATTTGAAAAGAGCCCTGAACTCCCAAGATATAAAAAAATATATAATAGACACATTTAAAAATTATTTTTATTCCAAAAGAGTTCTAATCATTTAGGTCTAAAAAGAGTGTTGAATAATAATACTAAATCATTCAAATGACAAGACTGCTAAAATAGAAAATTCCAAAGATCTCTTCAAAAGAAGGTAGGCAGACCAAAACCTTTATAATTTTAATATTTTTTAAATTGCATTTTGCAATTTTTTTTTTTCTTGAGATAGAGTCGCCAGGCGCCAGGCTGGAGTGCAGTGGCATGATCTCTGCTCACTGCAACCTCTGCCTCCTGGATTCAAGCAATTCTCCTGCCCCAGCCTCCCAAGTAGCTGGGACTAGAGGTGCTCACCACCACACCCAGCTAATTTTTGTATTTTAGTAGGGACAGGGCTTCACTATGTTGGTCAAGATGGTCTGCATCTCTTGACCTCATGATCTGCCTGCCTTGGCCTCCCAAAGTACTGGGATTACAGGCGTGAGCCACTGCGCCTGGCCCACTGCAGTATTATTTTAAATGGCCCCAAAATATGGGAATGATTATAAAAGGTATGACATATACATGCAACATTATGCAGCCACTGAGACTGTTTATGAAGAACTTACAACATCAAGAGAATATATTTGCTTTAATGCTAGGTTAAAAAAACAGAACCCAAAATTCTATGAATTTTTTTTGAGAAGGTGTCTTACTCTGTCACCCAGGCTGGAGTGCAGTGGCAGGATCTCGGTCATAGCATCCTCCGCCACCCGGGTTTAAGTGATTCCCCTGCCTCAGCCTCCTGAGTAGCTGGGACTACAGTCGCTCGCCACCACACCCAGCTAATTTTTTTGTATTTTAGTAGAGATGGGTTTTCACCATATTGGCCAGGAGGTCTTGATCTCCTGATCCACCCACCTCAGCCTCCCAAAGTTCTGGGATTACAGGCATGAGCCACTGCGCCCAGCCAATTCTATACCTATTCTATACCTGATTCTATTATAATCATGGCTACTTTTTTTTTTTGAGACAGGGTGTCACTCTGTCTATCAGGCTGGAGCACAGTATCATACAGCTCACTACAGCCTCAACCTCCCATGCTCAGATGATCCTCCCACCTTTGCCTCCGAAGTAACTGGGATAACAGGCATGCACCACCACATCTGGCTAATTTTTATATTTTTGGTAGAGAATGGGTTTTGCTATGCTGCCCAGGCTGGTCTCGAACCCCTGGGCTCAAACAATCCTCCTGCCTCAGCCTCCCAAGTGCTGGGATTACAGATGTGTGCCCAGTCCACAGCTACAATTAAAAAAAACTACTTGGCCGGGCACGGTGGCTCAAGACTGTAATCCCAGCACTTTGGGAGGCCGAGACGGGTGGATCACGAGGTCAAGAGATCGAGACCATTCTGGTCAACATGGTGAAACCCCGTCTCTATTAAAAATACCAAAAAATAGCTGGGCACAGTGGCGCGTGCCTGTAATCCCAGCTACTCGGGAGGCTGAGGCAGGAGAATTGCCTGAACCCGGGAGGCGGAGGTTGCGGTGAGCCGAGATCGCGCCATAGCACTCCAGCCTGGGTAACAAGAGTGAAACTCCGTCTCAAAAAAAAAAAAAAAACTACTTGCAGGAAAAAGTATTACAAGAAGATATACCAAAATATTAAGGGTGAAAAGCTTGAGAAGTGATAAAACGGTTTATTTTTCCACTTTTTTTCCTCTTTCATTGGGTTTTCATGAGCATCATTTTTATAATGGAGACAGCTTAACATTTTTTAAAAAGTTTTACAAGCCCATGAAGTAATAAAAATAGTTCCATAAAGTTTGCTAGTCTTTCCATTATTGCAGGTATGGTACCATCCCACTAAACGTTTATAAATCCTACCAAAATAAAAAAAAATTTTTTTTGAACAAGCTACCAATCAATCAAGTTCATCTTTTAAATTGATAAAGAAGTGTGAAATTTGTTAAAAAATTGGGGGGAAAAGGACAAAGTTTCATTGCAGGGCTGACTATGTTACCATGACAACTGAGTTTTAATAAAATCCATTATGATTTACTTTCCTATCAAAATCGTAGAGAAGATAACCACCCCACAAAAAGACAGAATCAAAAAACAACCTAGTATTTCTATTTTCCAAATCATACATGTGAATTAACTTACATAATAAAAGCTGCCAGCATTACAGACAGCCTGTGCTTATTATTAAGGGTTCCTCATAGGCAAATAGGAAAATATTGTGGTCTCACTTGTGAAATATGATTGATTGAAGATTCCATCCTTCGTAGCTGGGATGCCTGAATATCCAGCATCTGCAGGACATTGTTGGCCAAGGTGTTTATCAGATAGGCAACACTTGCTAAGGACTGGGTGGTGTAGGCTTTGGTTTCTTCTAGGGCTCTCTGCTTATCTGCTGACTAGGAAAAAAAACAAACCAGTCATCATTAATTCAAAGATAATCCATTTGTAGCAAAGAAACCTACAGAAAAACTCATCAAAACAATTCTGTTAACTGAATCCACCAGAAAGTCAAGAATGCTCTGGTATCATGTAAACCTTACAACTACTGATATCACGTAAACCTAAAACCAAACTACTGACTGAATTCACTAATATTTTCACGTTGAAAAGACACATCTCTGTACACATGCAAATAAAACCCTGAAGCCATTATATAAAAAATGAGAACCAATGGACAGTTTGAGCAATGGCAGCAAACATACACTGCTGGGAAAGGTAGCACTGATTTGAATGTATAAATTTTGACACACTTTCTACTTTTCCAAATTTTTCCTTTCCTTTCACTCTAACATGTGAAATATGGCTTTAACAATGTCTGATTAAAGTAATAATAATGTTTAACCCTATAAGAGGGCCCAGGAAAAAAATTTTTAAAGAAAAAATTATAAATAATATAATAAATAAATTGTAATAATAATTATGATAAACTAAAAGTAATAAAAGGATCCTTCCTTCCCAAACATATAAGTGTAATAACCCTACAAGATGTAAACAGTCATGTTGCCCAGGCTGGTCTCGAACTCCTAGGCTCAAGTGATCCATCGGCCTGCCTCAGCCTCTTGAAGTGCTGAGATTACAGCCATGAGCCACCATGCCCAGCTAAACATTAAGTAATTTTTAAAATAAATTAAGTCGACACATACAGTCAGATTCATTCTTCTCTTCCATTAAAAGTTAAGATTACTATCCATTAATGATATCTAAGATTCTATGACAGTTTATATATGAACATGAAAAAACAAATGTGAATAAAAACACAAAAAGTAAAAAATAAAAATACATAAACAAAGGAAAAAAATACAAATAAAGTCTTGTAAGCATTAAGATAACAGCCCCAGAAAATACACAGCCTAAGAGAGATAAATATTTTTCCTGATCTTGGTCCCATAGATTAAGGCTTTACTCAATGAAATGGAAATAATTAATAAAGTTCAATTTTGAAAAAAAATTTATAGATGGCTTAGCAATTATTTTCATTAGTAAAAGAGGCAAAAAAAATCTGGTCCCATTCTCTACAAAATAAAAGTAACAGAAAATGTCAGGAGGGAATTCTAAGGATCAGTGTTACAATGAAAGACAGTATGTTTGTTAGAAAAAGAAAACAAAATAAACAACAGTGACATGTTCCTTCAATAAAACCCACAAGTATCCACCATAAACACAAAACATTGTGCTCCTAGCTTAGCAATTTTGACACATTGTATCTGCTCTCAAAGACTTACTATAGGAGAAGATTGACAGAAACTACTAAAGTGAGTTAAGATAAATAAAAATAAAGTAAAAACGAAGGGTAACATGATGAGCAGTATGAAGAAAAAGGCAGGTTGAGAGTATCAGTGATGGTATATGTTCAGTCAGATTTTTAACCAATTTTTAAAAACTGAATCCTTAATGAAGTATACATAGCTAATTCAGAAAAATAAAATTATCAGATTATTTGTCTTGCATGTATCTCCTAAATCAGTATACCATTTCAAGACAAGTCTTAAGTAAATGTGTAAAAAATAAATCATATCCTCATTAACCTTCAAGTAAAATTTTCAGTAAATTTCTACTTCATTATTACTTTTACTAGTAACCAAAACAGGTTCACACTGGGGTCACAAGTAGCTTTACTACAGGCGAAACATTATATACACAATCTCTCTCTATAAATGACCAGATAAAGAATTTTTTTTAATTTGTAAAAAGCCTTTTCTGTCTTGGCTTCCAAATCATGATACTAACAACAGAATTATAACATTCATAAATCCAAATAATTTTTTCTTAGCCATTAACTTTACTGCCAATGTATTACCAAAGGGCATCTTGGAAAGGCATCTTGGAAATGTCATTTCCATCATCTTCCCCAACAGCCTTCAATTACTGTGTTATGAAAATACATTTTTGAATTTATAGCCACCTCTAAAAATGCTCCAGTATAGCAATTCTGGAACCACTTCAACATATGACTGAAGCAATACCTGAAACACCTGACACTGAAATGCAATTCTCTGGCTTCACCAGAAAACAAGATCATAGTAAAAAAAAAAAAAACAAAACACCAACCACTTTGGCCAGGCACAGTGGCCTACACCTGTAATCCCAGCACTTTGGGAGGCTGATGCAGGCAAATCACGAGGTCAAGAGATCAAGACCATCCTGGCCAACAGGGTGAAACCTCATCTCTACTAAAAATACAGGCATGGTGGCATGTATCTATAGCCCCAGGTACTTGGGAGACTGACACGGGAAAATCACTTGAATCTGGGAGGCGAGGGTTGCAGTAAGCTGAGATCACACCACTGCACTCCAGCCTGGCGACACAGCGAGACTCTGTCTCGGGGAAAAAAAAAATACCAACACCTCAAGGGCTTCAATATTTCAGTCTGAAGTTTTACAAGTTCCACTACATGGGTAGCTTTAAATTATGTGACTAAACAATAATCAAATAGGAAAAAGGTACAGACAAGAATATTCATGTTCATCAACTCATTTAACGGTGAAAGAGAAAAAGCACGAGGCTGACTAACCAATATATATATAGGACATTAATGCAGTAAATTAAAATGGTATTACTATGCATTACTGCTATGTAAAGATACCTATGACATAACTAAGTGAAAAAGAAGCTGGTTACAAAGCATCTTGAACGTAATCATCACCTAATTCTGTAGGTGCCTGGGTAATATTCCAAAAAGTAAGCTCCAAAACGTTAAACTAAGTTTTCTCTGAATATTGGAAATAAAGCTGATTTGGGTTTTTAAAATGTTTTCAATATGGCTTTTTTTTTTTTTAACTTAGGCATGTATTACTTGCATTATCAGAAAGAGTATAGCATAACACTGGCCGGGCATGGCAGTTCATGTCTGTAATCCCACGACATTGGGAGGCTGAGGTGGGAGCATTACTTAAAGTTAGGAGTTCAAAACCAGCCTGGGCAACATTGTGAGACTTCAACTCTACAAAAAAATTAAAAATTAGCCAGACACGATGGTGGACACCTATAGTCCTAGCTGAGGTCGGGGGGATGACTTGAGCCCAGGAGGTCAAAGATGCAGTGAGCTATGATCACATCACTGCACTCTGGCCTGGGCAACAAAGCCAAGACTCCGTCTCTCAGGAAAACAAAATAATTAATTAATTTAAAAAATACATAGAATATATATATGCATTGATATAAAATAATAGAAACTTAAAATTAAGTATTCTGTCCTAGTCAACTATAAGGAATAATTATAAAGCATAAGAGCTTCAAAAGATTTAAAAATCTTTCTGAGTTATATTTTACATTTGCATGCTTACTGAAAAGATTTGGGGCTCAAAGGTCTTTTCTTGTCATGTCTAAGTTCAAGATGAAGTTTATAAGACCAAGGATGCCATTTAGGAGCACTTTGGGAGGCTGAAGCAGGCAGATCATTTGAGGTCAGGAATTCCAGACTAGCTTGGCCAATATGGTGAAACCCTGTCTCTACTAAAAATACAAAAATTAGCTGGGTGTGGTGGTAGGTGCTTGCAATCCCAGCTACTCAGGAGGCTGAGACAGGAGAATCACTTGAACCTGAGGCGGGGGTTTCAGTGAGCCAAGATCGTGCCATTGCACTCCAGCCTGGGCGATAAGAGTGAAACTGCATCTCAAAAAAAAAAAAAAATAGATGAATGGATAAAGAAAATATGGTACAGTCCGGGCAAGGTGACTCACACATGTAATCCAGCACTTTGGGCGCCCAATCCAAGGTGGGCGGATCATCTGAGGTCAGAAGTTTGAGACTAGCCTGAACAACATGGTGAAGCCCCATCTCTAATAAAAATACAAAATTAGCCAGGTATGGTGGTACATGTCTGTAATCCCAGCTACTTGGGAGGCTGAGGCAGGAGAATTGCTTGAACCCGGGAGGCAGAGGTTGTAATGAGCCAAGATCATACCATTGCACTCCAGCCTGGCCAACAAGAGCAAAACTCCATCACAAAAAGAAAAGAAAATATGACATATACCCAATAGAGTACTATTCAGCCATTTTAAAAAATGAGATTCAGTCTTTTGCAACAACATAGACGGACCTGGAAGTCATTATGTTAAGTGAAACAAGCCAGGCACAGGAAGTTTGCATGTTCTCACTTTATTTGTGGGAGTTAAAAATTAAAATAATTGAACTCAACAGAAATAGAGTAGAAGGATGGTTACCAGAGGCTGGGAAGGGTGGGGGGAAAGTGGGGAGATAGGACGGAGGAGACAGAAAGTGGAGACATAGAAGAGAGGGAGGGAGAGGGAAAGGTAGGGGGGTAGGGAAGTGGGCAGGCAGTGGGAAAGTGAGAATGGTGAAGGTAGGGGGGAAATGAAAATGGTTAATGGATACAAAATAATAGAATAAGACCTCGTATTTGCTAGCACAACAGGGTGACTTCAAAAATAATTTAATTGTACATTTTTAAATAACTAAAAGAGTATAGTTGGATTGTTTATAATACAAAGGGTAAATGTTTGAGGTGATAGATATCCCATTTACCCTAATGTGATTATTACACATTGCATGCCTTTATCAAAATGTCTCAGGTAACCCACAAATATACATACCTACTCCTATGTACCTACAAGTTTTTTTTAAGTTTAAAACATTTTTTAAACTTTTTAAAAAGTCAAACAAATTGCTCGTGAACCACCTTCACCTATGATGTCAAAAAAAAAAAAGTAAAAACATTTAAAATACTGCCAGGAGAAGTGGCTCTTGCCTGTAATCCCAGCACTTCAGGAGGCCGAGGTGGGCAGATCACCGGAAGCCAAGGGAGACTAGCCTGGCCAACATGGTGAAACCCTGTCTCTACTAAAAATACAAAACTTCACCAGGCACGGTGGTGTATGACTGTAGTCCCAGCTACTTGGGAGGCTGAGGCAGGAGAATCACTTGAACTCAGGAGG